GGTGAGGAGCAGCTCGCGCCAGAGGATGTGCTCGCGCCAGCTGAGGCGGCGGCCGAGGGTGTGGGCGATCATGGGGTCGCGGGCCACCAGGTGCATCTGCCACTCGTCGCCGCGGTACTTGCGGGGCCGCCGGCGGGTGAAGTTGTAGGCCACGTCGGGGAGGTGCAGCAGGAACGCGACGGGGTCGGCGAGGACGAGGGAGCTGATCTTTGGGCTCACGGCGGGCGAGAGCAGCAGCGGCGTGGTCATGAAGGTGCCGTAGCTGTTGGCAACGAGCACGCAGTCGTCGAAGTCGGGGCCCAGCTGGTCGAGCGCGGCGGCGATGGAGGCGACGATGTTGTTCGCACTCGGCATCGCCTCGCACAGGCGCCCCGCGATGGGCATCATCTCCACGGCGAGGATGCCGACGTCGCGCGGGATGGAGCGAAAGAACTGCATATAGGGGAATAGACCGACGCCGACGCCATGTATGAAGATGACGGGTCTGCGGGTGACGGATCGGTGTGGTCTAGCCCAGAAGCTCAGGTGGCCGGGCGCCGCCGCCTGCTTGGGCGCCAGGAGAGCCAGGGGCCGTGGGGGGAACTGGCGAAAGAACTTGGACCGCTTCTGGCGATAGTGCCGGAATCCCATCAGGTACAGGAAGACGGCGGTGAAGTGGTCTATGCACCAGATGATAAGGTAGAAGAAGAGGCTGCGATGATTCATTTTGACTGGGTCGAAGCTCAGCCTGATGGCTTCGCACTCTCCCCTACCTTTCCGAATTGGATAGCCCAGACGAGCTTCGGCCTGGCTGATGTACTGCTCAAGCTCCTCATCATCCTCTCCCGGAGGCCCCTCGCGGTCAAAGAGGCCCCAGAGCAGCCAGTCTTTAACGTTGTCGCGGCGGACGTCGTCGAGGTGCGCATTTTGCACCCACTTGCGGATGAAGTATTCCATGTCTGGGACGAGCGACATGCATTTTGCGAAGAAGGCGGCGCGCTCTGCTCTGTTCAGCGGTTCCGGCTGTAGGAGGGTACAATCTGTCGTGGTGTTGCGCTGTGCCAGCTTGCGGAATGGCATGTACGCGAAGAGAAACCATAGCAGCTCGACGGCGGCGATGACCTCGATGGCTATCGAGACTGGGTGTGTGATGCAGGGGATGCCGCCGTACGTAGCTGCGACAATAAAGTAGCCGCCACAGAGCAGCCCGAAGTAGGTGAATATGAATACCAGGCAGCGGGCTAGGATATATTCTGCTTTCGCTCTGCCCAGGACATAACTGCCGAACATGATGGCTTCGCGCCAGGACCGTCAACGATGGCGTTTGCGAGATGTGGTTCAGTGGGAGGCCGGAGAGCGCGTCGGCAAAACCAGCTCGCGGTGAAGGCCCGGTGTGGTTTGAGGCAGAACGACCGGCGTCCGGAAGCTGAGATGTCTCGCTTCAGGCCTGTGGAGTTGATGCAAGAGAGGGTCGCCCAAGAATCGACATCTGGCATGTGACTTGGATGTAGCGCACGTCACACCCGAGTCTTCTTGTCGAACATGTCCGCGCAGAGGACGTAATTGGGCGGGCCAGACAGCATGAACAGCCTCGCTGCGGGGAGTGGCAATTGGTGAGTGGTTATCGGAGTTTGGCCGACGCTTGAGCTCAAACGTCGTCTGATGACGAGGCGGGCACTTCTGCGCGGCCTCTCCCCCCTACATACACAGTCTCGGGCCAGTCGGGAAGACGCCATGGTGGGACCCTGCACGCCGCACATACGTCGCTTCGCGCGTTTGGAAACCTCAATGCCAAAGCCGAGCCAGCCCAACTCTGACGGTGCAAACTCGGCAGCCGGTCTAAGTGCGATCGAGACTACTCATGTCGTGGACTTGGGATGATATTGCCGAGTCTCGCCGAACCAATCGCACAGAGTCACTAACTACCTAGCCCCTGTGCTAGGATCGTGATCGAGAAGACAGCGCACCGAGAGGGGGCGGAAGCACGAGCAGAAGGAGAAGGCGCCAGACACATCCCAAAGAACATTCGGATAAAGGCAAAAGAGTCCAGAGTCAGCAACGACGGCGGCTGGTTCAGACTCACGGCAGGTGTCCGTCGAACCCGGCTGCTATCAATCGTTGCCCAGCTTCCCACACCTCTGCAGGAATATCCTGGGGGATTTGAAAGCCAAGAGCCGGATAGGTCCGGATTCGTACGAGGTCGCCGACCATGATGTCGATCACCAAATCTCGCGGATTATCCGCATCCGGGTACTCGGCGAAGGGCATTTGCGGCGACGTGACGGTGAATTCGGGCTGCTGCTGCTCCCCTTCACCGTCCCCCGCCACCGACTGGGACGCGGATGCGGCTGCTGGGTGCCACTGCTTGCAAAAGGTAGCGTAGGTGCGGCGCTCCATGTAGGGCTTCTGCACCAGCACGAAGCTGCGCGGGCTCAGGCCGCGGCGGCGCAGCAGCTCCCGCGTGAAGCGCACGTTCTCGCCCGTGTTTGTGGAGCGCGGCTCGACGAGGATGCGGGACTCGGGGACGCCCATGCGGCGGGCCACGGCGGCGAAGACCTCGGCCTCGGGCTGGGCGAAGCGGCCCTCTGTCAGCTTGCCGCTGCCTCCCGAGAAGATGAGAGGGCCGTCGGGCCCGGCGAGGCCGTCGAGCAGGAGCTGGGTGGCACGCTCGGCGACGCGCAGGTCGAGGCTGCAGAGGCAGAAGATGGCGTCGGCGGGGCGGAGGGGCATGTCCATGCGGTGGTAGTTGTACACCAGCTCGGCATCGCGGGCGATCCGAGCCGCTGGCGGGTCGTCTGACGCTATCATTGGGGCTGGCCTGGCCACTGGGTGGGTGTGAGGTGGGTGAGGTGGGTGCGTGTATGCTGGGGCGAAGCGAGGGAGAGCTCGACGCAAGATGACGCGGGCTTGGTTCTGGTGGGCAGGAAGCATTAACTTAGCTGATCAACACAAGCAGGAGCGATTCAATCAATGGGGTGCGAAAACACGACACCCCACATGAATGGAGCACAGCCCCTGGCCCAGCGCGGTTGGGGCATCGTTGGCAATCGACCTCATCATTGATAAATTTTGCTTGGCTTCGGAACGCTCCGCGAGCAGCCGTAGCTGTGCAAGCTGGAGCTTGCTTTGGGAGCTTCCAAGACAGGCAGCGCCGGCTTGGAGCCCAGGCGGGATGGCGTTTCCTTGGAACGGAAGGATAGAAGTCAAAACTGTCAAGGGGCTACTGTACCGCTGGCCGTGTATCAGCACCACTGGTGCAGAGACCCAACTGCTTGGCACTTCGGAGGCACATCTGCCGTTTGTGTCGCCTGACCCAGCAGGACACCTTCGCGGCGGTACTGACTCCCGCGAAGCGGATGTGCGGTACCGAGGGGAGAAGGGTCAGGCCATGCTGTTTTTCTGTCCTTTCTTTGCGTTTGCTCGCCGCCGTAAACATATGGCGTGCCTGGCCGGTCCAGATGTCGACAGCCTCTCAACCACAACCCATCTCCTGAACAAGAACAACAGGCAATTCTGCCGTCTATTCCCACTTGCAGATAAGCGAGTCCGCGCACCATGGTTTTGCTGCCCTCTTTCTCTTGCCACCTTCGTAAATCCTTTGGCTCGGCTCCAAGCCTAGCTTTATCAACCAAGATAAAAGAGCAACAGAAAAGCTGGCCGTGACTAGACACAGCCCGAACATTCCCAGTCCAGTTTTAGAGCTTGAGGGCGCTGACGGGAAAGCGGGAGTCTTTCCGGGCCGCACAAAATCCATCGGGTGCCCAGACGTAGACACGCATCACGGTTCCGTGCAGCTGGCAGCTTTCTCCCGTCTCAGGTCTATTCTCAGGTAGAAAATCCAGCGCCGGTGGGTCTTAGGCCACGTATATTCGCGGGGTGCTGCATGAGAGACCCCTTGCATGATGGCTTGGCTCAGTACAAGTACTTAAGACCGCATTCGTGGAAATCCCATGACGCATGAACGCACAGGTTCGTGGCTGGGTGTTTACCTGGTAATACGTGCCCGAAGTTAGTCCGATAATTGTTTTTATCTCTTTCCTATTCTATCTTGTACGAGAGGATCGCGTAAACATCCAGTCCCCCAGGACATTACCGCCTCAAGCCTTACCGTTTTATGATTTTCTGTTTCCCCGTTAGGGAGCTATGCTCCTCCTGAAAACTTCGGAAACCCTTATCCACCCGTACAAAGTAAGAACCATGTTCTTAATTTCTATAATTATAGAGTCGATGGTGAGTGGCTATACACTGGAAGAAATATTGTAGCCACAAAGCTTTGGGCTCGGATACGAAAGTTGGTGAAAGGAACTATTGCTCAATGCAGCAAACAACAGTTCTAGTCCAGCCCCGTACCACTTGCGGCGGGGGCGATCCTCCCTTCTCCTGGCTGAAATTCGGTCGACCAAGCGAGATATCTCTACTGCTCTGTCAACTAAAGGCCTGCCACAAAGGAGGCTATCACCAAAGGCCGGCACACTGTTCCAGGCCTTGGCGCGGGAGATCTGCACGGGCACCTGGTGCTCCGCACCGGTGCTGCGCCAGGGAGATGCTTACCGAGCACCCGCCGGCAACGGCAGGGGTGTGGGGGTATCAATGTAGATACAAAGGCACGAGGCCCCAGGCCGCGAGCCCCCTTCTTCCTTCTCTACAAAGGTCTAGATAAGCCTACAATAGAACCTATTTTGTACCGCTTATCCGTTATAGGGCCAACTACATGTTTACATAGAACAAACGGGTGTAAGGGTTATGTTCGTTGTTTAAACACAGAATTCAAAAATCAAACACAACCTTCGCTTGAGGCCTGGTGCTACTGGATAACCACCTAGAGCCTGAAGCACATATCTCTACTCCAATAACACCTGAAGTATGAGCGACAGATAATGAAGCGAGTGTATGAATCATCTCCATTAGCCCTTTATTTTTTTTTGCTTGCGTCCTAACATTCAACAGGGTGTGTGACATACAATGCTTCTCCCTCGTGAGCCTGAATCTTGGTAGACATTAAAGCTAAACTGATATTACGGTAGGAAAGGGTGGCTGTCTGAAGGGGTACGCACGATAACCGATGTCACTGCTAACGGGTCTTTCCAGATTTTCGGAACGTCTTGTGCAAGCAGCTGGCAGCTGCGCCACAAAAATGAAAGCCCGGCCCGTCTATCCCCACTCCTTGGCGTGGATAGGCTGCCGTGCTAGGAAAGAGATATTCTTAGACCAGGTGCAAGCTATTCACTACTGATCAGAAAGCGTCCGGAACGGAACTGGTAAGCCTGTCCGCCGACATGGGCGGGGGGTTTTTTTTTTCAGTTTTCTAGTGCCGTCATCTAGTGTCTTGCTGCATCAAGTTTTGATTCGAATTCCAATATTGAAGGCGGCCCGTGAGTGTCAGTGGTCCGAAGTTGCGGCTCGGCGCTTTGGCAGTTGTGTGCAGAAACGGGAGAGCGGCTGCCATTGCCTTAGCCCACATCCTGCTTGCGTTGCCATCATCGGATCATGGCTGGTAATCGGGGACCTTCACTGAAAAAAAGTACGGTCATGGCCCACTGTACGACACCAGCAGCTGATGGCTTGATTGTGCCCGGGGTGGGGCTGCCCAAGGCGGATCCCACGACCTTGACCACCCGAAAGCGCCGTCTACTTCGACTGAGCCAAGACCCAAGAGTTCGGGAAGGATGCAGGGGTATGCTAGATGGCAGTGCAGTTTGGAAAGATCGACGGCGCACAATAAGCCAAGAAAGAGCATCCCATTCTTGTCGGTGCCCAAATCCAAGGCCGGAATCAGGGCCGAGTAGGTTCGGTTCGAGGCCTCGCTATCAGGCCGCCACGGTCAAGCCTATTTTGTGTGGTGTGCTTCTTTTTCTCGTTGCGGGCTGTGATCGATATTACAGTGCCAGTACAAGAGGGAACCCGTGGCTTGGCAGGAGATGGAGGTGTGTAGTAGTGGCCAGAAGGCTTGTCTTCCGCGGCGCCGGATTCTGAGAAGGGCCGACGGCGTGGGGGTTGCCGACCGCTAGGCATGGCGGTTCCAAACTCGTTCATGGCACTGGCCCGCACCCCCGACCTGTGCGTTAGTCCCAACCTATCCTCATGCGTCTTGCCGAGTCGTGCATCGGCACCATCGTTTTACCGCCATTGAGGCTTCGATGGCGTCCACTCTTTTCTCCTCGGCCTTGACTCCCCGTGCTTCTGGCCAGCTCTCGCCCCTACCAAGGAACTAACAGGTGCTTCGCTGGCGAATTGGTCGTCGGTCAGGACCAGGTAGGTCGCTGATGTTCCACGCGCTTCCTCGTTTCTAAATGAAAGGTCTCAGAAAACGCAGGCAGCCGCAGCTATCAAGCCATGACAGTCACCCTTGTCCTACGTCACGCGGCGCCAGGGCGATGTGGGCGAGTCTCGCCAGGACTGCCATTTCTTTCTGATACGAAAGCGGCCATGCTTCCGCCTGGGGAATCCGGGGTAAATTTGGCTAAATAAGAGCTGACTGGTTGTGTGGGGATTTTGCCGGAGCCATGGAGCGGAAGCCGAACACAACAGACGTGAGGGCACGCCTCGTCGTGGGCGTCCCGGCACAGGCAGCCTGCAAAAATGCCTTTGTCGAATGCCGTGGCCGCTGACTCCCGAGGGCGGAGCCACCGCTGCCAGCTAACATGTGCCCGACAATGTGGCCCTCGCTTGCAGACGGGAAACGCTGGGTGGGCACGCAATCTGGCTGCAAATGTCTACAAACGGCTCTGCCACCCGTCTCGCTGCACTAGCCACCAAGGAAAATGCGCGCCTGGCCCTCTGGAGCTGCGAGCTGGACCGCGGCATATCTAACCGACCCCACGTGTCCGCTATAGGCCACCCAGACATCTTATGTATGCTATCAGTGGCTATTCTTCGCCGTCTCCGTCGACATGATCGGCAGTCTTGGGGCCCCTCGGCGATACCTCGCGCTCCACCTACACGAATCTCGCGGCCAGCACTCGCCATCCGACTATCTGACCCAACACCCCTTCCGGCCGACAGAGGAACCTGTCAGCGTGGGAATTGCCCACCAGTCCATCCACCCGTCATGCATACACCCCGTGGTGTTCCTCTGCCGCCGACAGGCCCCAGCCCGCGGTTAAAGGTTACATCGATATTACTTCGGACCTGCCAGTCGGGCTACTGCTACACTGCCGCCATATGCTTGGCCTGTGCTCCACTGGATGAGCTTATTTGCCAGCTTCGGGACTTTAGAACCGATGAGGCGACTTGGGACCTCGGAGGCGGCCTGCTAATCTGTGATGGGCGGCGCCTGGCCGCCTGGCGCTCACCTGCATCTGGCGACCACGACTCGCCCTCGGACCATGTCTCTATGCCTCCTCCCCTGGCTGGGCAGATAGTGGTGCTACCCGGGCGCCCCCGGGTAGGCTATGCCGCTCCGGTATCCCGACCGAGAGGGGGGGGGCGGTATCAAGGAGAAGGATAGGACGATGACGATAGATGGCGGCCAAGCGGCACAACCACCCTTCCCCCTTCCCCCACGGGGAGCGGGCTGGTGGTAGCACCCGCTCTGTGGAGGCTTAAATGTTCGAGGTCCGCCTTTATTCAGGGGCAGCCTGGTGATCCCAAAATAACTAGCTAGCCAACGGCCACCGGTGTCTAGTTCGGGGCGTCCCTGGCTCGCGAGTGCGTCGCGCGTGTGTATCCTTCCTCTGCATAAGCGGCGTCCACTCACTCACTCGTTTTGCTGGCCCTCAAGGAGATTTATAGGGCTCAACATCCTGCTTACATTACACCTCCTTCCCCTTCGACAAGGCCCTCGTTGCCCATCGCCCGTCATGTCTACGCCATGGCACACACCGTCCCCCGGCGAGGCGCCCGCCACGCTGCGCAGCGGTCAGAACGGCAGCCAGGACCTCGACGACGCGGAGAAGGGGCTCTTTGACAGAAGCAGCCAGACCACGCTCGCCCTGTCCGTCCCGAGCCCCGCCGCTCGCGCCGCCGACAAGAGGCTCGGCAAGGTCATGCACATCGAGACGTCCATGCCCTTGCCCGTCTCGCCCATCCACGAAGGAATCACGCCTCTCTCGAGCGTGCCGTCGCTCTCGCTACTCCGCCAGCAGAGGGGCTGGCCCATTCTGTCGGTCGAGTCTACCGCCGCGGCCGCTACGAACCAGGCTAGCACCCCGCCGCCGCCGCCGCCGTCCCCGCCGCTCGAGAAGCCCATGGCCTCTCCCGGGAAGCCCGCGCAGGGCAAGGGCAAGAAGCCCAAGATCAGCAGATGGATCCGGTTCCAGCTCTGGTACAACGCCTACCGCCGCTTCTTCACCTTCGTCGTGTCGCTCAACCTGGTCGGCATCATCATGGCCGCCCTCGGCCGGTTCCCCTACGCCAAGAATCACCTAGGCGCTCTGGTCCTGGGGAATCTGCTGTTCGCCATCATGATGCGCAACGAGCTGTTCCTGCGGCTTCTCTACTTTGTGTTGATTCACGGCCTTCGCGGGGTATGTCGGATACGCGTGTCGCCTTGCATATCTTACCCATCGCCAAGTCTTACTTGAATCACATCAGCTAACGCCTCGTCATATGCAGTGGGCGCCTACCGGTCTGAAGCTTGCTGTCACCTCGTCTCTGCAGCACGTCGGTGGGATCCATTCAGGCTGCGCCCTCTCCGGTGCCAGGTACGTGCCACCGAATGACACACCATTCCGCGGTCCAGACCTTGTCTAACCCCTACATCTAAAAAACACTAGCTGGCTGGTCTTCAAGACGGTCGACATCCTGATCAAGATCCCGATTCAGCACAAATCCGTGATCGCAACCGGCATCGTGACCAACGTTTTCGTCATCGTCTCCATCCTCAGTGCCTTCCCCTGGGTTCGCAAGTGAGTCAACTTCCAGACCTATTCAAGTCCAGCATCGTCCGTCACATCAAAACAGTGGCTGACGTGCGCCTATCCAATCAAGCTACCATCACAATACGTTTGAGAGCTATCATCGATTCATTGGTTGGCTGGGTCTTGCGGTTAGTACATCCCATGTGGTATCTATGCCATCCTCGCTCCTTTCTCTTACTGAGCTAACCTTCTCAACCTCCAAAATGCTAGGCCACATGGGCATTCGTCATTCTGGGCAACACATACGATGTCACGTCGAGGGAGTGGAGAATGGATGCCCACACTCTGCTAAGCGCCCAGGAACTTTGGTTTGCTATCTTTATGACGATATTGTGAGTTTTTGGACCTTATCTTGGAGCGCCAACGCCTTGCTAACAACCCGTTCACTCGCAAGCGTCCTTCTTCCGTGGATCACACTTCGAGAGGTGCCCATCGAGGTTGAAATTGTAAGCAAACCCGTTGAATAATCTCACAGGCCAGTACTAACAGCTTTGCCTTTCCAGCCATCTCCCAAAGTTGCCATCCTCAAGTTCGAGCGCGGGATGCAGCAAGGCCTCCTTGGCAGGATCAGCCGCACGTCCGTCATGGAATACCACGCTTTCGGCATCATAAGCGAAGGGCGCAAGTCCACACACCACTACATGATATGCGGTGTGCAGGGCGACTTTACCAAGGGCCTGGTGATGGATCCTCCCAAGAAAATATGGACAAGAGAGCTGAAGTTTGGTAGGTCCTTATGCAAAACGCCGAGCCTCTACAAGATGGAGGGGCACGCTAACCTCCGACAACGAACGTACAGCCGGCGTCGGGCACGCATCCGCCATGTTCAAGCGAGGAATCCGCGTATGCACCGGCACCGGGATCGGCGCCGCGCTCTCCACCTGCATCCAGAACCCGGACTGGTTCCTCATCTGGATAGGCTCCGACCAGGAGGCGACGTTCGGGCCGACCATCACAGGCCTGATCTACAAGCACATCGAGCCGGAGCGGATGATCCTATGGGACTCCAAGAAGCGCGGGGGCAGGCCCGATAGCGTCAAGCTGCTCAAAGAGACCTGGGACAACTTTGGGGCCGAGGTCATCTTCATCACCTCCAACAAGCAGGGCAACGACGAGATGATGCAGGGCTGTCACGCAGGTAAGCTCGGCGAACAGCATTATTAGCACCAGCGTCCTTGGCTTGCGAAGGGGCTTCTGCTAACCAGGGTTTCCACACTTGCAGCGGGGCTTCATGCTTTCGGAACCCTCTGGGATTTTTAAGGATCATGCTGGGAAGTAAATCAAGGGTGTGGCTTTATGGGTTAGACGAGTCTGGTTATTGCATATTTCCTTACCATTATTGCCCTCCGTCCATCAAAATATATGAGGGAGGAGGTTAGCATCTTTGCGGAATATTTAGAGGGGAGTTTGTCTCATGCTATGCATTGACGACTGGTTCTTGGTTTAATTATTTGTTGCAATTCTTTCAGCCTCATCACGAGCACCGATGTAGCTAGATAATGTACTAGCACCTTGTAGTGGAAAAAGGGATATAAATTTAAATGCGACTGGTTCTCACAAAACCTTAGGTTTAAATTGTAACGGGGTTGCCTGAAGCGTTGGCTACAGGGGCTTCGGGGCTTGATATACTGTGGTGCCAGAGGGTTCAATCACGAAGTGATTGAACTGTTGGATCTTTTGGTCTATGTAGCGGTACTCTGGCACGTCCCCCTTACATAAAGCCACTTCACTCCGCAACTTTCACTTCCACTTTCCCCCTTTTTTAACGTTGATAAAGCCTTAGCAAAAGTCCAGAAATTAGCATAACGTCACTGCCGTAGTAGGCTCCTATTCCCCGATTCCACGTCGCTCTATAGCAGTACATTTCTTTGCCCTTATCACCTTTGCGTAGAAATGCATTTCAGCCCAAGGTTTCAGTAATGAGACTGGGTTTTGTTAAATGAGTAGGTTATTAAAACTCGTACACGACTTAGGAAAGGTGTTGTTAGTTAAAGCGGCGCTAAAGCTTTGGCTTTTCAGCCCTGAACCGCGGCTCCCTTTCCGAGAGGATACGGGTTCGTATCTCCGAGCTTTACTCACATTGCCCATCCCCTCTTTAAGCAATTCGAGACTCGCATTCGAGACCCTGAGTGACCATAGGTACGCTTGCCTCGTTGCGGTTACCTGGCTGATCCGGTTAATAACTGGTTGCAGCTGTCGTTGCTTGGTGATGGTGAGAGAGCCACAGGCGGCGACCTCCTGCTCGTAGCAGTAGGGCGGCCCTCTCTCCAATTCCATAATCTTCTCGCGATGCATTGAGAGCTCTCCATCGCTCTCGTTTTTGGCCTTGTCGAGTTCGCGCTTGAAATATCGGAGAGACTTCTTGACTTTCGGACGGGTTTCCCGGCCGTACCACTAGTTTGCGGTGTTGATGATATAGTCTCGGGAGAGCAGCTCGCTACTGATCTCGCCCTGAGTTACCCAAACAGATGACGCTTGTTAATATTAAGGTGATAGTTACGCTTAAAACGGGCTGGAGTTAAGAGGGGAGGGGAAAGTGTAGAAGAAACTTTGGTTCCCTGTAGTGTGTTTGACGCCATGATTGACTGGCTGCGGGATGGTGAGACCTGAAGGGATAATCAGGAAGGCTGGTAGGATCGACACCTGGCCGGATGTATTAACGGGATATTCTTGGTGTTAAGGATCTGGCTCGTAATCAGCGGGAATATATGGTTCGCGATCAGTGTCAGGAGCTGAGCCCCCCTTGCGTTGAGGGATCAATCGAATGAGGATTGGGAGGACGGCCTAGGTCTATGATTATATAGTCGAGCCTGGTGCTAATTGTGAGGCGTGCCCGAGCTGCTGCTGAAAGGTAAGGTGGGCACATACCATTCCGGCGCCGGCAACAATAGAGGGAAAACAGCGCCTAACTCGAGCCAAGGAACGCACCAACAACCACGATAACAATCACCTTCACGCCTCCACCGTCGAAAGAGGGCACGAACACAAGAAGAGGGCATTCCCAAGCCAGAAGCGACCCCAGCGGCGCCACCAACATAAAGGGAACACAAGTCGCCCACCTACCGGAGCCGAACGTTCAAAGAGCCGGCGGGATGGCCGACCAACATCGGACCCCGCCTCACGAAAACACCACCGGGGGGTATGACACTACAACGCACCCAAAATGCGCCGCAACCACCCTCGCCCCCGAGACGTGCCAGCACAACTGCGTACCAGCACCTTGTTTTAAGTTTTTCCTTGTACGATTTTTTCTTTACACTATAATGATTACAAAAGATGCTCTCGTGCTGGGACCCTGAACCACAGTCGAATGAAATATGCGGACTGCCCCCATTCAATACGGTAGCGGGGACCGATAACAGCAGACCCCGGTTTTCAGCTTAGGCCCCGGGCAGTTCAGGGGTTTGACAAAGCAGAAGGACCGAGGTTGACATATATACAACAGCGTATGGATAATAATACTACTATGCAATATTTAGCTTGCAGGAAAGAGAGTACAAGGGATAAACGTAACACCTCAAGTATTCATGAAATGGGAATAAACATGTGCCTAGGTGCGTCATTTGGGACTGCGACGGGCTGATAAAGACCCGAGCATAGGATGAAGCTTTTGCGAGGTATGTTCATAAGAAATCTATTCAGGTATCTAGGTAGGTAGGCAGGTCGCTAGGTAATGTGCTAAGACAGCTAAATCCGCAAGCAGGCACCGCTACAAGAGGAAAGGACGACACGGCTAGGAGACGGCGAGTGCTCGCGAGTGAAATGGGAGGGAATTATGAAGCAAGATGATCGTGTGTTCCTTTTAGCCGTTTGACATGGTAATGAGGCTTAGAAAAACGTTCCATGCGAAGCCGACACAGGCGGCGACGAGCACGCGGTAGTCGACGGGCACGAAGGCAAAGTTGCAAATCGCGACCAGGGGCCAGACGTGCCAGGCAGCTTTGATAATGTACCAAGTTTTCTCCTTCCAGACCTGGAACAATACTTCGCCAGATGGCACCCGTAGCACGTTTGTGAAGATGAGGAAGATGGTGGTGGTAAAGAGCAGCCATAGCGTTTGGTCGAGCACGAGCTTGTAGGTGACGTTTAGCCAGCTGATGCTCGCGGTGGCCGAGCTTGAGGCCACCCCGCCGCTCCCAGGCGTTAGCGGGGCTTGGGCGCTCGGTTGCTGCTGCACATCTGGCGACGGTGGGGGCCGTCCCCGGGCAGACGGGGGTTGCTTTTTTTCTGGGTCATCCGGGTCGTGGCCGTCGTGGACCTGAGGCTGTGGCTGTTGACCCGGCACCCCCTTGATCCAGCTGCCGACGGCGGCGCCGTGGGTGGCGGCGGCGGCGGGCGTGGTCTTTGTTGGGAAGTGGTACTCAAGCCAGTGTTGCCAGGGGAAGCCGAGACCAGCGCTGACGAAGCCGTAGAAGGAGAACTCGGCGACGCGGCCCCAGTCCAGCGCGGCCGGGTGTCCGGGGCCCGGCCCCAGCTTCCAGATGGTGGCGACCTGGGCGGTGATGTTGGCGGCCGCTTTCAGGCAGGCGGCCTGCATGGCCGTGGTGGCGACCAGGCGCTTGCGTATCCGCAGCGACATGGTTGCAGCTGCAGCGGCTGCTGGCAGCAGCGGCGGCGGCTTGGGTGGTGTAGTCCCGTCACCAGGCACCGGCGGGTAGGCACGGGCAGGTGGGCCGGGCTGCAGCTGTGGCTGCCCGGTGTCTCACGTGCTGGGCCGGAGAGCAAGGCGTGGGCTTCGCTCGGGGTGGCACGTGAGAGGCCTCACTACCTCGCTAGCGGCTGCATCCGGAACGGGAGAAGATGGGCTCAGGGGACCAGGGAGGGCTGGGAGGCTGTATGAGGTACCGAGGTCCGCAGACAGTGGCAGACAATTGATGGGACAGAGGAGTGACGGCGTCGAAGTCTCCGCGTGTCGAAAGGGGGAGGCGGGTTGGGGACCCGACGTTGAGCCAGCTGGCCTTTCTGGAACAGTGCTGACTTCAGGCGGTTGTTTCGCGGCCCGAATCAGACCCGGCGGTGAGTGGGACCCACCGTAAAAGGGGCGCTTGAATATGGCTTAGTCAGGAACTCGAGTGGACGGAAAGTCGTTGATCGTGCGCGTCCTAGGAAACTGCTTGGCATTACACCACGACATGTCCTTCAATCCATCATTTCCTGGCGCGGAATCGGGCCTTGACGCCAGTCAGCATGGCCATGAAGTAGAAGCAAACATCTTCGTCGACAGGCATGTCGCAAGTCACCTCGAACCCCAAGATCAGACGGGCGACGGTCCTGTACAAAATCAACTCGGCCAGATGTCTCCCAGGGCACGTCCGCGCACCGCCGCCCCATGTCAGATTGCACCTGTCCATGGCCCTGCTCTTCGCCGGGTCCAGCCAGCGCTCGGGGTTGAAGAGGTGGGCGTCTGGTCCGAATATCTGCTCGTTGCGGTGCAGCGACACAGGGTTGATGCCAACCGTCGTGCCCGCCGGAAGAAATACGCCGTGCAGGTGCGTGCCTCCAACCGGCACCTCGCGCGGGAGCGACATGCCGATCACGGGATACAGCCGCTGCGCCTCCTTGACTGCCGCGACAGTATATGGCGCAGGGCTCCAATTGCCGTTGCCCGCATCTGCGAGGCCTTGCTGATCCCTCAACACTCTGTCCTGGACATCCGGGGAACTGCCAAGCATGGCCATGGCGGCAGTGAGTGCCGAGCACATCGTTTCATGGCCAGCTCCGAAGTTCGTGATGGCCATTCGATGCAGGTAGGTTGCCGTGAAGTCGGGCCGCTCTTTATGGAGTTTTACCAGGTCCGCCATCAGATCTTCGTGAACATTCTTCTGCTGCTTCTTTGCATCAAAATTCCGCATTCGGGTCTTGATTTTCCGTTGGACCGCCTGCAGAGTGTCAATTGATTGGTGGATGGTGGATGATGGGAGGCGGATCGAGAATTTTAACAAGTCAAAAGGGACTTACCGGAAAGAAGAGGCGGAGGCCTTTGGGCGCCTTGAACGTTAACCCCCAGAGATCTGCGAATGCGCGTCCTACAGCCTTGGACAGTGTTTCGAGGATGGCAACGAGAGGAAAGAGCCCAAAAATTGTCTTGCGTTTCCACCCTCTGTAGCTAAAAGCACTCGACCCTCCATCCGATCCTAGGCGAAGGTATCCCGGCGACCATGAGAGCACGATCGAGCTCAGGCACTCGACGGTGATGATATGCATCCACTCCTTGAGATCGATCGCTGCGCCGTCGAGCTCGTTTATCCTGGTAACAGCCTCACCGAGGACTTGATCAACCGCCAGCTCAAACTTGCGCAGGTTGGCAGCCTGATAGACGGGGCCGATGAGACGCCGCTGTTGGCGGTAGCGCTGCGCATCATACTCTGAGAGGAGATCGAGAGTGTCGGAATAGTGCGGCCGGAGGCGCCAGTCTAACTTCGGCTTCTGCAGCGCCGTGGCTACGTAGAAATCCGACTTTCCGAACCCACTGCCCAAGCCTGTGGCGAATGTCTGTCAACAAGGGAGAGAATTACTTGAGTGGAGGCAAGCCTCCTAGTTGAAGGAGGGTAGAACTTCGTACCATATATCTCGCGATGTGCGTCCTCCGAGTTCAGCCAGATCTCATTGGGCCCTACACGAACAATGGGACCGAATTTGTCATGTATCTCCTTCCCGACCTGCAGAAGTCGTCCTGCGCACACCTGGCGCGCATACCAAATGTTGGAGATGGCGGCCAGTCGCGGCCCCGGAATGCCCGACAAAGGGTGCAAGTAAAGTCTGTACGATACGGCGGAGAGAAGTGCCAGGATGCCCGTGGCAGAGACCCCGAGTGCGCCCAGGGAGCAAGCGATTGTTAAATGTCGGAGCAGCTCAATAAGATCAGCTGGCCAAGAGGGCAGCCCCAGCTGGGGCGGAATCTGAAGCTGAAATGTCATGCCCGCGGCGCAGGCGTCGGACCAAGTCCGTTCTGGTTCCGCCGCAGAACAGAGCCGCACTATCAGGCATTCCCTGAGTGTGTTCGAGCAGCTAGCTGACAGCCCGGTGGGATGAGATCTCCCGGCTTCACCAAGCCTGGCTTTTTTTCTGGAAGATTTCATGCTGAGTCACAAAACAAACCGTGACCTCGCTCTACCCTAACCCCAAGGGCTCGGCTGAAGGTCGGCTTAGAGAGGCCTTGGCTCCACTAGGCTACATCACGAAGGGCGTGCCAAGACCACAGGGACGGCGAGCGCGGAGAACCAGACACCAGCGACGATGGATGCACTCCCATGCTGACATGGCCTAGCATCTGCAGAAAAAATGGAGCCTGGGAGTAAGATCGGGGCATCACGACTGCCCGAACCCCGCCCATGGCCTTTTACAAGTTCACAGTGATCCCATCGTCCTCGACCCCAACATCGGCGAGACCGATCCGCAACGAAAGATATCATAAACGTGCCCAACAAGATGGACCCTCTTGCGAGCCTTGCGATGGGCGTGCCGGGCCTGGGGCCCTGCGCGGCCAGCTCCATCCCTTTCCCGACCCTACGCGGCGCCGAATTCCTCGGCGTTGAGGCCAACTGGGTCACCAACTTTACTATGTCGATTCCCCGAGTCCTTTTCCCAGGGCCTTTTCTGTCCCCAGCCGTTCCCCTGAGTTTCTGCAACGTCACGCTCTCTTACACCCACCCCGGCACGCACGACCGCATCCTCACGCAGGTCTGGTTGCCGATGGACGACAATGTTGTGCCCTGGAACGGCCAGTTTGTCGGCGCCGGCGGCGGCGGATTCATGACGGGCTTTCTCGGCAGCTCCGTTGGTGCCGTCGCCTCGGGCTACTCTGTCGCCACGACGGACGGAGGGCACACCGTGGAGAACTTCGAGGACCCGCAGACCTGGGCGCTTGCGAGCGAAGGCAATGTCAACCTGAACGCCCTGCAGAACTTTGCCAGCGTGTCCCTAGCTGACGCGGCAGCCATCGGCAAGAGTGTTTCGGCGCAGTTTTATAACCGCGAGGTCGACCGTTCGTACTTTATCGGATGTTCGACCGGAGGCCGCCAGGCCTTGATGCTCGCCCAGAGGTACCCGCACCTCTACGACGGATATCTTTCCGCGGCTCCCGCCGCGTACTGGACCGAGTTTCTGGTCACGATGCTCCGAGGCCAGGTGCGTATGGCCGAGCTCGCCTACGCGCCCCCGCCTTGCGAAATGGCCGAGTTCAGGCGGCGTGCCGTGGCCGCCTGCGATGGCCTGGACGGCGTCGAAGACGGGATCATCTCGGACCCCGATATGTGCCTCGACACATTCGACCCTCGCACAGTCGTCGGGGCCGAGTTCGAATGCGCCGAGCTCGGCAAAAAGCTGAAGCTGTCCGAGAAAGGCGCCGATATCGCCGTGACGGTCTGGGGTGGCTGGAAGGAGATAGATGAGGACGGAAATGAGAAGAGAATATGGGATGGCATCGGCATTGCCGGTGGCGACTTCGTGATAGCCAGGACCGAGTGCGACTATTCAACTGGCGAACCCGTTTGCAAGCCAGCTCCGTTTGTGATATATCTGCAGTGGCTGCAGTATTTCCTCTACGAGACCAACCAGCCCGTCGACATTACCAAAGTCACAACGGCCGAGCTGGCGCGGCTGCTGAAAAAAAGCCGGCAGCTATACGATTCGGCTATTCGCACCGCCGACCCCGACCTGTCCGGCCTGCGCAAGGCCGGCGGCAAGCTGCTCATATGGCACGGGCTATCTGATACCGTTATACCCTTCAACCAAACTCGGCGCTATTACGAGGAAGTTGCGGCATTCGACCACAAGCACGCGGACGAGTACCTACGTTATTTTGAAGCACCCGGTGTCGATCACTGCGGCCAAGGCCCAGGAGGGCTGTTCCCCCATACCGTGTTCCAGGCGCTGAAAGGCTGGGTCGAGGAGGGCAAGAAGCCAGACATGCTTCTGGCTCAGACAGAGCCCGACGCGGATGGTCTTCTGTGGGAACGTGTGCTATGTAGCCATCCTAAGCGTGCCAAGTACGACGGGAAGGGCGACACGCGAGCGGCAGCAAGCTACTCTTGCGAGTAGTCCACTGGCTGAGAATGGCCGAGACACTGACAAGTTTGATTGTGAAGACGTGGATATTACCCAAACGCCCCAGGGACCTTTCTGATAGCTACAGGTCACCTTCAGGACTACTACTTATCTGCCACTTTCTCAGGCACCTCCACAGGAACTGACACGGTCCCAACCGCTTCCGGGTGCATCTCCTTGTTGACCGCAACCGCTTGTCTCCGACTCTTGTCATATCCAGACTGGCCAAGTCTTGTGTGCACCAGCTCCTCTGCATTCTCGTTCGGCACAATACCCAGCCTGGCCGCCTCCTTGGGCGTAAATGTGGCCCAGTCGTCGTAGGGGTCAAACTCACCCGAACCGGGCGGGGGAAACAACATGTTCACGATCAAGAAGAGGGTAAACGAGATGCTGAGGCCAATGAAAAAAGCAGCGTAGTACAGCTGAAATAGGGCATCCGGGGCGTTTGAGTACCCGCCGACGGTTGCGACGAGGCCGCCGATGGTGGGGATCCATCCGGCAACCCAGCAGGGGATGACACGCGGGTTGAAGCCATGCGTGAACCAGTAGTCGGAACCTCGTGGGCGGTAGAGGTGGCTCAGCTTGACCCGCTGGCGGCGCACGAAGAAGTAGTCGCAAATCATGACGCCCAGGAGCGGGGCGAGAAAGACGGAAAAGGACGACAGGACGTTGATGAAGGTGGCGGCGCGGTTGATGAGCTGCCACGGCTGCAGGACCCAGGCGGCGACGAACGTGATGATTGCGCCCCGGCGGATATCGACGTAGCGGGGGAAGACGCCGGCCAGGTCGATGCCGCCGGCTACCGCGTTGCCGCACACGTTCTGGAATAGGATTGCAAAGGTGAATGCGAGAGCGAGGAAGAAGACACCGGCACGAGAGCCCGACGAGCCGTTGCCGTCTGCAGGAAGTGGTTGAGCCGTTAGTATAGACTGTTTGTCGCCGTTCGTGGTAGGTAGTCCGACTAAATTCAAGCCACTCACTGTCTATAATAACCAACATCAGGTCGGGAGGATTCCAGTATATCTTGCCGTACAACACCTGGCATGCGGCCGTCGTCACCAGGCCACCGAGCGCGACAAAGATACCGACAACCCACTGCACCGAGACGGTACCCAGTACGAAGCCGAGCGCAGAGTTGGAGTACCGGGAAAAGTCGCTCTCGTTTGCAATGCCGGCGGCAACGCCGCCGATGGCCTGGTTCAGGCCGGCCATTATCAGCCACGAGACGCTCCAGCGAGACGAAGCGGGCACGTCCACGGCTTTATAAAAGACGGGGCCGACTCCCCCGGCGGCAGCTAGGGCCCAGATCATCATGCATATCATGCCGACGCCGCAGCCGAGGCTGGAAACGAAGAATGGCTTCTTGAATCGTTCCGGTCGGATAAATAGGAAAGGGACCGAAAGGATCCAGAAGACGGCGAAGCCCACCATCTCGGACGTCGTGGTTGGCATGCTCTCCGGGAGGGTGTTTGGAAGGTTGTGAAACGAAGGCCATAGTGCCGTCAGGGCAACACTGGTAGCCGCAGCGCGGAGCCGTCAGCCATGATCGCCCCTATTCGCATTGCCCAGCGACCACTCACGTGACAAGTTTGCCTCCATTCCAGCACTGAAGCGCGGTCCAAATGAAGTTGAGCAGGCTGCGCTGGAGCAGGGGGATGTAGGAACCCCGCATCCCCCAAGTGAACCGGTTCTGCACCGTGAAGCCGACGTGCCAGGTCAGCCCGCACCAGCCGACGACACAGGCAAACGCCGAGACGATCAGGCGCGAAACCACGACGATGGCCATGGCTTGGCCGACCGACAGGCCTTGGGTGAGAAAGGCGTTTGGCAATTGCCACGACGACATGTTGAGGGCGCCCCTGAGGAGGTTTGCTGTCAGTCGACTGCTACTTATGCCCCGCCGTGGTGTCCAGACTCGGATGCCTCCCGATCCGTAAAAACTTACAGCGACTGGGCACCGAAGAAATTGAACCACCCCCATGTCCGCCGCGATGGCGGCAGGGGCACCAGGTCACGGTTCACCCATGAAGTGGTCTCCTCGTGGCGGCTCTCGTCGGCCTTGAGGGTAGCTGCATCCCTAGCCCTCCGTAAGAGATTCATGGCCATGGGGAGCGTGCGGTCTTGTTGGTTTGGTGGGATGGCCGTCCATCTGGCGGTGATGGCGCGTAACACATCACATCATATCTACCCCACCCTGCTGCCGAATGGACAACCTCGTCCGCACCCATTGGTCTGCATCTATAATAAGGGCTCGCAAAGCCCTTCTCCCAGTAGCCAGACTTCTTTTTCTCAGACGCAGTTCAACCACAGCAATTGTACGAAACAAATTATTTCCCACCCAGAGATTTCCGATCTCTAGATTTGCGAGCGTCCTTCCAGCAGAGGTATTTATTATTCTAAAAAAGAAAAACGAGCGAAAAGAAAACCCACAACATGGCTGCCTAGATGCCAGATATTGCACTTTTACAACACAAACACGACCACGACTCCAAAGACGAGCACTGGGACAGCCACGGCGATCCTGCCCCGTGATTAACGCGCACCGGGGTTCTTGCCGGTGCTGGGCGTCGTGCCGGCCAGGGTCTGAGCCAGCGCGCCGGCGGCGCAGAGTAGCGGCACCGAGGTGAGAGTGGATGCGAACATATTCGGTGTGACTTGTCTGCTGGTGTGATGATAGATGGCTGCCTTCTCCGGGCACGCCGTCTTGAGGGACGAGAGGCCCGACATAAATACCCGTCTGCCAGAGCAGCAAGTCTGGTAGCGTCCCGGCTCTCTGAAATAGTGACGATGGAAATACGTGCTCAAGGTAGCTTTGCTTCGAACGAGAGTTAGAGCCAAGAACTTTGACCGATACCAACGGGGGTAGCACCGCGGCGGCCCGGTAGACCCTGGAAAGGTCCCGGGATAGTGCCAATGCCTCTGGTTAGCCCCGTTAGCCAACAAGGCTAGAGGCGTGGTTGCGTGCTGGGTAGTCTTTGGCCCCGAGCACAGGCAGCCATGATTGCGCGGCATGCGAATCCTTCCCAGGCTACGCCAGTTTCACATTTCGGTTGTTGTTCCATCGTCTTCTGGCTGAGAAACGACAAGATTTCTTTTTCTCCTATCCTCCATGCGCGAACGGCCAAGGGCCATCATTGATGAAGGGCCTCGTGGAAAGGAAGAGAATCTTCACGAGACTAGCCACACTTGGGGTTTGTGGGAAAGTCAGCCGCCACAAAAGTGACTGAATACAGACCAGAGACAAATCCTCGAGGTGTAGAAATTACAACAGCTTACTCGAAGGCCAGCCTTGGCTTCCCTCGACAGGCTCAAATCCGGCAAAGCGTCGAAAGATAGAGCGAGCCCGAGCCCGAGCTCAGAGCCCAAGTCTTCCCCCGATCTCAGTAACCCTCCGATGTCCTTATTTGCGCCCCCACGTCGCCCAGCCCCTCGATACCCCAAATATCAGACCCCCACCACGACATTCCCTTAGAAGTTCAGCCCAACGGCATAGCTCGCCCTCGTTGCCCAGTCAGCACCATTGCCTACCACCCGAGCTCCCTCATATCTGACGCGCCAACCGGCCACCCGGCCACCTGAGTCTGTTTCGCCGCCTCGAGTCCGCCGATGGCCGAGGTGGATCACTCCGTGGCCGAGGCTAGATACGAGCCTCGAATAGCTGTGGAAAGTAGGCTCTTTGTAGAGCATGGTGGACGTCCAGATCTTGGTCAATTTTGCTGCATCCTCTTCGATAACCGCGCAAGTCACGTTGCTGCCCTCGCCTATGTCATCAGCGAGGTACGGGATAGACAACATCACACCTAGAAATGATCTGGATATATACCTTCCAAGCCAAGCCGCACTACGACGCGACGGATCGACGGGCTTTTTATCTTTCCATAAGGCTTAAAAATCCTCACCAGTACCACAGCTACCTCGTTGTCGTCGCCGAATCGAACAACTCTAGCCTTCTACGCGGGCCGCCCGAGCCGAGAACGAGTCACGCGCTCCGGCGCCGCCCCGGCCGTGCTGGGATATCTCGGGGCAGCTCAGGACGACTTCGTGAGCGCTTGGAACCGTTTGGCCTTTCGGGAAGTGGCCCGGACCCTGGCCGCCGCCGCCACCGACATCGCGGCTCGAGGAAACGCAACATCAATTTGCCCACGCAGGTGGGTCTTGTAGTCGTGCCATATGAAGATGATGCCAGAGAGGGATGAGGGAGTGGGTTCGCGTGACCTCGCACGAACATGCGACCAATATCTCCGCACGAGGAAAAAGTAGACAAACGGCGTAGAAGGAAGGCCGAGGCATGTGGCCGGTGGGGCACGCTCCCCTGGTTGTCAAACATTGGGGCCGCCAGCAAAGATAGCGTCCCATCCAGGCACCAGGAAATCCTTCGGTCTGGCAGCTCGCATCTCGGGTAGCCGTGATCTCGGACTTTCTTCCCCTATAAATCTCGGGAACAACCGACCAGGGGGAAGGGCATAGATTGAAGTCCAAATCCACCCGTCCGGGGAGGTGCCACGAACTAGGTTGCAGCATGAAAGACAGGGAGCTGCGACAGCGAATGAGAACATATCGTGGGCGTCGACAACCCCACGATTCCGACCGCCAAGAATGTAGGAGGCTCTCCTTGGCGCTGGCGGTCCTATAGCGCATCTCGCCAGCCAACCCTCAACTAGGAAGGTAAACGTGTTAAGCGACCCGCGAACACTCCCTGATCATCGCGAAGTCTTCACCAAGTGGTCTTGCTTGACCGCTGCCTAATACAAGCGAACATCACAGGAAGCGAGGAAACCCCGTCGGAGAGAGGCCGCCTGTGTTCCGGCGAGCTGTGAGCGTCCTCCGACTTGGGCAGGCAGATCAAGCTTTTGTTCTTGGGAACTTGGCTATAAAACAAGACGTGGCCAGCCGCCATGGCGTTCTTATCCTCCCCCTTTCCTACCCACCCGCGCGCGCCATCCACTCGCTTTCCACAGGCCCCCCGGTGATCAACCTCCTCTTTTGACTCTGTCTCCCAGTGTTTTTTTTTTTTGCACCCTGCAACCATGAAGTTTACCTCCATCGCGACCACCGCAGCCGTCCTGGCCGCCGGCGCCGACGCCTGCATCCGCATCACGACCTACCAGGTCAACAGCGGCTTCGGTTGGGGCCGCATGTCGATCCAGCTCTGGGATAATAACGACTTTTACTGCGAGGCGCACCAGGACAAAGGCGCCCCGAGCTCCAACACGGTCTGGGATATCAAGTGCCCCAACGGCGACTACTGGGTCCACCTATGGGACAATGGCGGTACCGGCTGGGTCGAACGTGAGTGCTCCTCTTTATATACTTGTGGCGAAGAGGACTTGGCGGGAGTACGTACTAACAGACTTTGCTACCCATTCCAGGCGTGGGCGTCTGGAAGGCCAACCTGAGGAGGCGGGATTCCAAGTTTGAGCAGGGAGACAATGGCGGCTGGGACTGGTCGTACGCCCACGACGACAACTTTGGTAACTGTCACGAGTACTCTGTCCCTCCGATTTAGAAGGGCCAGCGTCAGTCCGCAGAGGGTGGCTGGAGGTGGAAAGAAGGCTAGGGAGCACATGCAGGAAGTACTCGAGTGTGGACACGACGCACAAAAACATACAGTGCCAGGACCAGATTCAGAAGAAACGCTCTTGTATTCCGACCCCAATCCTGAGCACCAGCTAGCCCACTTCAGAAAGCCTCAGTGTACAGATAACCCCGTGAAACAGCGCTCATATCCCATTATTTGTCCTCCTTTACTCAGCCTCCTCCTCAAAGGGACCGGCATCCTCGTCCGCTCGAGATCGGCGGCGGCGGCAACGGCCTGCAGGGGCTTGTCATTGCTGCCTCGGGCGGCGGCGCGGGGCTCGACGTGGCCGCCGTCGACGGCGGCTGGATGGGCCGCGCATACACCCCGTGTCGTGGCATACGACGCCCGTCGTGTTTGCGAAGGAGGCGATCACGATCCCGACGTGCATCTCGGACGGCAACGGCCGCGTCATCATCATCATGAAGAGGGTTCCGACCGAGCTCGACGCCTCGCGGGGCCCTGCGCGCGGCGCTGTCGTAGATGGGGACGCATGTCGGCTACGTTAAGGGGGCCCGTCAGCGGGAGGAACGTGAAGGAGTGGGTGGTCGAGAACACCATGTCGCTAGCGTGGAGTATCAGCAGGGCCAGGGCCGCTGACGCGGTGCGCAAACGCCATCGATGACGTTACGGAGGCCATCATCGGCGAGGTCGGCGGCCCGGAGTCGGCCAAGCTGCTGTTCCAGGGGAATATCATGGGGGTCGAGCGGACTCTTCACATGGGCCATACGTACGGCGAGGTGGTTGTCGAGTCCACTGCGAGCGTTGACGGAACGATTGGGAGGACGAAAAAGGCGCGCACGGTCACCCCGTTCAAAGAAGAAAACATTTATGCCAAGATGGTGGACGTGGACGGCAATGAACAGGTTATCCCCCAGTGCCCCTATCCGTCCTTCATATTCAACAGTGAGAGCAACCCATTTTGCGCACTCCTAGATCGTTGCCATTGTGCCAGATTTGGTCTGCGTTATTGATGCGCAAAACGGCGAAGCTCTCGGCACACAGGAGTACCAGTATGATCTGCCTGTGATTGTACTGGGAATTACGGCCTCCGAAAGATGGATCTCGACCCCCCGCGGCCTGGAGATCGGTAGCCCCAGAGGCTTTGGCTTTGATGATCTCGAGTACAAGCCCCTCGGCAAGTTTGGCAGGCCACGCAGCGTTATCGACGAGTACGAGATCAAGGGAGTTTGAGAGACGCATGAATGTTTATAAGTTTCTGGAAATAAGTCTATACAACATCGAAGTAAGGAAGAAAGGCAAAAAGAAATCACTCCGCGCTCCTTATCGAAAGAATTGCACTTCCTTATACATCAATGGCTCGATGCGTCGACCCTGGCGAGCCGAGGCAATATAATCCAGCAAAGGGCATTACTCGCAGTACCCTACACAGGCTTCCTCCTCTTCGCACCATCTCAGACAGTCGAGGTGTTGCGAGTGGCACGGAGCTGGCGCCAGCTGCGGAAGCCCGAAATGGAAAAGGCGAGGTGAATCAGGCTGTGAGAGGCAGAGAGGTCAGCTACGGCCGTTCAAGGAAGAAAGCACATCATTCTACCGCAATGAGCAGAAATACGGAACTGTCACACTTACCATGCGGCAAACAAGCTCGCGATCATGGCGGCGCTCAGACCAAGACGGTCAACACCCCCGACCACCATCTGGTCCCCGCCCCTAGCCAGGTCGGCAGTCCAGGACGTCAGGAAGCCCGCGGCGATGAGAATGCCGATGGCGGCGCCGCCGTCCCAGAAGAGGCGTATCTGTGGCGTGTGCCGGCGGGAGGCGCGGTAGATGGCCCACAGGTCGGAGGCGTTCAGCAACATGCTGTTGATGCCCGGGCCGAGGCCCACGCTCAGCCACCGCCCGGGGAGGTGGGCGACCGTGGAGCTGACGGTGGAGAGCACGATGAGGGTCATGCCGACCAGGACGCCGGTAGCCCGTAGGCCGATGTAGAGGCCCCGGTGCGGGGCGCCGCGGGGGAAGGCGGTGCCGCTGAGGCCATCGTTGTCGCCTCTGCAGCAGCCGCTCCTTGGGGCAGCAGGGGGTGCGCTGGTGTCTCGGGTCTGGTCGGTGGAGGGCTTATAGTCGCTGGAGGAGAAGGAGGTGGGCATTTTGTGGAGGCAGAACTCAGAGATGAGATTGGGTAGGTGGTCTGGGTGGTTGGTGCAAGTTTGCGATGCGTTGTTGATGCGGTGGTTTATACACTAGATTGGTTGTGCTCTGGGGTTTGGTCGATGCAGTCTTCAGAGAAAAGGCAGGATGCAGCCAGCATTTAAATACACAAACCTAGGAGGGCAGTTCCAGCCTCATTCTACGCCCATGATCGCCTCAGCTGCCCTCGTCGATCAATGCGGTCTCTCCGATCGTTCTGAAAAGCCCAACGAACAGCCTACACCAGGACCAGCTGCACATAGCCCGCCCATCGCTGTCAGGGCTGCCGCCTGATTGGGCCATCTCAGAGGCTGAGCCGCTTTGTCGGGGGCCGTGTCAGACCGTAATTCGTGTCTCTCGTTTCGTATTTCGTGTCTGCACTGCATTGAAGCGCAGGCGTAGTGGCTTCCGAATGCGGGTTAGTTCCGTTTGTAGAAACCGCGCTACACAGCGATGGGGATCCTCTTGAGGCGTCACTGATTTACCCCATGACGTCAAAATGTCGCACGCCATAGCTCGGTAACACCGAGCTTTGTGTACTGCGGATTAGGGTTCTGATATGACGTCCAACAGACCTGGCTGCTATTGCAGCCACCAAGCGTATCACCTAGGGCTTCCTTCCTGCCCGAGGTATGGCTAGACCTTTCTGGGCGTCGTGAAATCTCATTGCCAAGGCGGCTCTTCTTCGTCGAACGTGGCAGTCGCCAAGCACATCACAACCCATCCGCTGCCATGTCGGAGCCAAAGGCAGACACCGAGGCCACAGAGGAAACGGCCGGCGAGCCCCTCGGCACCAAAAACCGAGCCCTCCTCGCTGGCGCGTCGGTGGCGCAAGACTTCACGCCGCTCAAGGGCATCTGCGCGCACCTCAACGCCTTCCACGCCTACGCGTCGGACCCGACGCGGCACGTCGAGGCGAACCACTACTGCGGGCACGTCAACGACGACGTCCGGCAGTGCATCATCTACGACCGGCCGACGGGGCCCGGGGCGCGCATCATTGGGGTCGAGTACATGATCCCGCGGCGGCTGTACGAGACGCTGCCGCCCGAGGAGCGCCGGCTGTGGCACAGCCACGCGTTCGAGGTCAAGTCGGGCATGCTCGTCATGCCGCAGCCACTCGTGCCCGACGCCGCGTGGGAGCTGGCCGAGAACAGGGAGATGGAGGAGGTGATGCAGCTGTACGGCAAGGTCTACCACCTCTGGCAGGTCGACAGGGGTGACATGCTGCCGCTCGGCGAGCCCCAGCTGATGACCAGCTTCACCGCGCCGGGTCAGCTGGACTTTGACACGGTCGTCGCCGATCGGGACGCGCGGTTCAAGACGGACTACAAGAGGAAGCAAGAGGTCAGGAAGAACCTGCCGGAGCCTGATATCCACCCTGATGCGGACCAGGCTTGGAAGTAGCATCGAGTCTCCGGCGCCTTATACGAAAACCGGGACAACACAAAGTCTCAGAGACAGGGGCGCAAGAAATATCTCTTGTCATTGTAAAGTATTTGTATAATACAATTATTGACGGTGAAATGTATTCACGCGCGTGCAGTATGGTCAACCTCTTCAACAACTATATCCAACACCTAGCTCTCTACTAGCAGGTCCAACTCTCAGCCGAGTTGACATCGCCCCGCCCGTCATACGCGGCGACGGCAGGGTACGGGCAGATTGGCCTCTGCCTTGAAGCCTGCAGGTTGGGGGCCCTGCTGTTGCCAAACGACGTCGCGACGATCTTGTCCGGGGCGGTGCCGCGCTCCACCCAGGTCATGAGGGCGAGCAGGGCGTCGTGGCTGGTCTCGAGGGTGGGCACCTGGGTCACGTCGGCCGACAGCGACCCCTGCTGGTTGGCGCCCCCAATGTACCACGGCGCGTCGACGCTGGTGCCCGAGCAGTGGCCCAAGCCGGGGACCAGGAAGAAGCGGAACCAGTCGGCGAACTGCTCGCTCCCGGGGGTGGCGGCGCCGACCGTCTTGTAAAAGTGCGTCGAGCTGCCCGTCGCGATGAGGGCGTCGCTCATGCCGTGGTACATGATGACCTTGCCGCCCCGCTTCTTGTAGGCCGACATGTCAAAGTCGTCGGCCGTGGCGCGGCCCGGATTGCGGGCGTCGGCGAGGGCGACGATGGTGTCGTTGTAGTCGCGCCAGTCCCAGCTCGGGTTGTTGAGGAGCATGTACTGGACGTATTGCGTGCCGTACGTGCTCGGGCTCGACCCGCCCATCAGGAACGCCCAGTTGTCCTCGGAGCCCAGCTCGAGGCCCGAGAAGGCGTAGGTCCCGTCAATGACGTAGTCGGCGTGCGACTTGCTCGCCGTCTCGATCTGCGGCGCCGTGAGGCAGTTGGAGCCGGCGGCGTCGCCGGGGCAGCGGATGGTGCTCAGGTCCAGCTTGCACTTGTCGGGCTGGCTGATGATGCCGTCGCCGACGCCGTCGGTGCCGTCGCACTGGCGGCGCACCTCGGCGGCGAGTACGGGGAAGAGCTGCGGAGGGATGCGGGACGGGGCGTCGGCCGGCAGGTTCAGGGCGCCCTGGCGCAGCGTCCAGGTCTGCAGGTGGCTCGTCCACCAGGCGGGGGCGCCGGCCAGGACGCCGTCGAAGGTCTCGGGGTAGAGCTGGGCCTCGCGCAGGCCCTGGCGGCCGCCGGTCGAGCAGCCGGCGTAGTAGGAGAAGCGGGCGGCCTGGCCGTAGTAGGCCTTGGCCAGCTGCTTGCCGGCGACGGCGGAGCCGTGGATGGCGCGGTGGCCCCAGTCCTCCTTGACCTCCTCGTTGGTGGCCCAGGTGACGTCCCCCGAGGTCGAGCTGTGGCCCGTGTCGGTCGACACGACGGCGAAGCCGGCGCGGACGCGGGCGCCCATGTCCAGCCAGTTGATGCCGCCGCCGAAGCCGCCGTTGCCGACCTCGAGGAATCGGCCGTTCCAGCCCGCGGGCAGGAAGGCGCCGAACCGGTAAGACGAGATGTCGGAGGACTTGATCTTGACGACGACGGCGCAGAGGTCGGGGAGTCCCTTGGGCTGCGTCGGGTAGGCGACGTTTCTGGAGCCCTCGCCATACGTGCCGCCGGCCGAGACGGGCGCAACGCCCTCGATGGTGGCATTAGCAGGGAGAGCACCAGCGAGGGCCTCGGCCGAGCAGTCAAGAACGGGCGCGGACAGGCCCTGGGCCTGGCCGAGGGCCGCGGACGAGATGAGGAGACCGGTGGTGGGCTTCATGGCGACAGACGGGCTTGGCACGAAAAGGGCTGGCCACGAGGGAGAGAAGTCGGCAGGGCCCTAGCCGGCTCGCGAGCCGTCGATGCATTTATGCTTGATCGGCGGGCCCTTGCCCAGCGAGCACCGTCATCGAGTCATTACCTCGCGGCTTTCTCCTCGACTTGTTCCTGATTTCCGTCCATTTGCCGGCCCAATTTCCTTCTTCCCCGCAAGACGGTCAGTGGGAATCTCCACAGCCCACGGGGAGAGTCGCATTGTCGAAGGTGCTAGCGGGGCGGGAGCGAACACATGGACATGCAGATTCCAGATTGGGTTGCGATGCCGAGGTCGAGGTGGCAGCCGCAAATCTTGCCAAGCGCGTATAGAGCCGTCGCGGCGGGAAGCTCGTGATGTGGTATCGCTTGGATACCTCCTTGTTATCTTCCTCATGGGGACCTGAAGCTTCCAGAAGCCGTTTCCGCGTGGGTTGAATGTAGGGAATTCTCTCACCTTCCCAAAGCAAGGTTGCCTTGTCATTGAATAGGTGCTCGCGCGATTGAGCTGCGGCCCGCCCGCTCAGTTTACGCCAATCTCAAGCTCAATCATCGGGCGCCTAATCGAGCGGACCTTCAGCTGCAAGCCCCGCTGGGGATTCCCCAACGGGAAATCACCGATGAAAAGCCGTGGCCGTCAATAAAACTGTCTCCAGCCATTGATTCTCACGGCAGTTCACCGAGCACGGCAAACCGTTCGGGGCTGGGCGCCGCGTCAACAAGAACCCCCATGCGATCCTGGCGTTTGTGGGCAGCACAGGGTGCGGTAGCGCGGGCGAGTAAGCTGGGCTGCCGTCAATGTCTTGTCGCTGTTTTCCTACGCGGTTTATTGGCCCGGCCCGTTGGCCGCGCCCCTGGGCCGCGGCGCAGCCCCTTGAAACGACAACGCCAACGCTTTCTCGGGCGTCTCTATTCGTCCTCCAGCGTACTAAGCGACCGTCGCGCCCCGGGGCCGAGAACAGCTCGCGTTGGACGACAACCCCTGTTTTGGCGGCAACTTGCTCTGCGCGCTTCACCTTGACTGAGACCCATTGTTGATGGCCGCCCAGTTGCGACCTTTTTTGAACTCCAATAGCTTTCGTTTGGGCTCTTGGCTTGCTGGTGCGGCCTAAGCGCTTAAGCGCCCCATGCAATCTTGTGCGTCTCGAGACGAACAGCGGTTTTCTTGGCCTTACTCCGAGCTGAAAATTTATTCCTGGCTGTAGACACCGCTCATACGCGCGAGATGTATTCACTCCATATCAACATGTCCTTTATATACGTCTCCATGTCCACACCCTTGCGATCCTGGATAGAATGTAGAAATATCGAAGATCCCCGCAATCACCAATAGCGAAAAACCAACACACAAAACGACACGATGGTGTCATCAGCAAAGCTTCTGCTGGCTCTTGCCAGCTTCATTTACACGGCACAGGCTCAGGCTCAGGCAAACGACAAGCCCACTAAAGCCTCCATCGAGCCCAGCATGGACGGCAAAAGGGTCTCGGAGCGGCTGAACGTGATGCTGAACACGACGCAGTACACGATCGAACCCTGGAAGGATAACAACTACATCGCCGCGGACTGCGCGAGGATAGCCAAGGAGAAAAGCATATCGCCCAGCGACTTTGACGTCTTTTACGTCAGGTATAGCGACTGCGGTGAGCCGTGGGTGTTTTGCCGCGAGAGGAAGAGCAAGGCGACCGACAAGGACCTCGCCGACAGCTTCGGCAAGATGCCCGTGCGGAGCAGGTCGTTTGTCCGGTGAGTCTCGTTCAACCATCCGCCTGACCATCCTCGATATACTAACACACACCCCTCTCAAACAGCCACGTCATCGGCCTCGCCGGCAGGCCCGACATCAAGTTCGCCGGGCTCTGGACCGGTCCAGGCAGCGACATCATCGTGGTGGACAAGCCCGAGATCAAGGTCATGGTGCACGAGCTGATGCACGCCGTCGACCACATGGCCATGGGGGCGCACACGGGCGGCACCATGAAGCCGCTCAGCGGGACCGCCCTCTGGCGCGGCGAGTGGGCCAAGGACCCCAAGACGGTCACGCCCTACGCCAGCAACGGCTGGAGCGACAACTTCGCCGAGGTCGGCGTCTACGCCCTCTACGACCGGACCGTCCCCGGCGGCCTCGCCGCCATCCAGCCCAGCTTCGCCGACGTCCAGAACCAGATCCGCACCCTCCAGAAGTACGCCGGTCAGACTATCGTCCCCGGCGGCACCTGCTCGGCGCGCATCCAGCCCAGCAAGGCCGTGCTCAAGAGCGCCGCCGCCAGCAGGCGGAAGCGCGGCCTCAAGCCAGACCTGAGCTTCCATGATCCCGGCATTTCGGTCATCAAGGTTGACGATGCTGCGAAATGGGTCGAGATTTCTGCCGCACATGACCATGCGCATTGAAAGGCGAGGGAAGGTTTTGGAGAGATGGGATGGTGAGATTTTACTTCGCTTCTTGGACAATATTGTTTCCTTCTTGTTTTAACTGTCGGCGTTATGTATTCCCCTTGTTTCACTGTCACGAATTGGCGCGATATACCCTTATAAATGATCTTTTACCTCTTCTCTACGATGCACGACACGTTGCGCCTCAGGGCTTGGGACCTTTGTGGGAAAGTAAATGGTATTGTTACAGGCCGAGCTGAGCAAACCAGACATATGTACAAGAAATTTAAAGGTTGAAGCCGACATACGTCCATCCCTGAGCCTATGCCATCTTTGCAAATCGCATCTGCCCACCCCCTGGTATAGTCCGTCCTGTCTTTGCTGCCTGTCACCGGCAGCTCAGAGACGCAAGCTCGTTGACCGGGGACCGATCAGTTGATGGTGACGACGGCGCAGGAGCCGAAGCCCTCCCTGCCGTTGAGGGCCTGCTTGACCTGCAGCACGCAGCGCTCGCACTTGACGTTGGGGATGGTGACCTCGATCTTGTGGTCGCCGCGGGGGAAGCTGTTGGGGATGCCGCCGTTTTGTCCGGCCAGGTTCTTGGTTACGGTGGCGACGGCATTGAAGCTGGTGCCCTTGCCGGTGGTGTCAAACTTGACGCTGAGCGGGCCGCCGCCGTCGCCGTTGTTGATGTTCCAGGTGATGCTGGCGGTGCTGCCGGCCTTGAAGGTGGCCGTCGGGCGGCCCGAGACGTCGACGCCCTGGCCGCAGCCGTTGTCGGGGATGCGGATGTTCTGGAACGGCGTCGTGTTGGGCAACGCCGCGGGGCTGGCGAGCTTGCCGTGGGCGCTGACCGAGACGGCCATGGCCACGACGCCGAGGAGCGAGGCGGTGAACTGCATCTTGGATGACTGGTGAAGTGATGGTATGCTGAGAAGCAGTGGAAAGTCTTGTGACAAGGCAAGAGGTATGCGAAGAAAAGAACGAACAAGTGCACTGCACTGAGAATGAAAAGAATGGATGGAGTATTTGTTGGATGACCGGCGGCGTGAGGAAGGAAGAAAACAGTGAACCATGGGAGAGAGCAAAGCCCATCTTTATACTACGAACGCGACGAGGGCTCGTGATTCTGGGCTTTTGCGATTATGGTGCCACTGGGGTCGCCCCCCCTGACCGCCAAGTGTGAGGGAGGTAGGCACACGAGACCGCACATTTCGCAAGAGGGTCGAAGGGCACCGGGTCAACTGAGGCTCACGATCCTATTTTGGGACAGGCTGCGGCTCCGCTGCAAGGCCACTCAGCCAGACCCGGCGGCCTGGCGGCAACGGTGTGGCTCCAGGGCGAACCGACTCGGGAGGAAGCCGAGGATGGTCGCACGAGCCAACATGCGGGCCCCTGTTGATCGACTGTGACAGGAGATCTGAGCATGGTTGAGGGGCGGGGGAGCCAAATGTCGAGATGAGACGACAGAGACATTGACGATGGCCCCTTGAAACCAACACCGCAACCGATTTCGCTTCTGCAGAGCGTGTGCCTGGCGACAAGGGCAATTTTAAACAGAAGGGCAGGCGGCTACATGTTTTGTCCCTTGTGAATCATATCGGGATCAAAGCTGGAGAGATCCTTTGCGGTTGCTGGGACAGCGCATTCCGAACGACATAAATGTACCTAGGTAGGGTCTGGGCATGAGAAATTCAAAAGTACCTGCCTACCCACTGTATCCATTTGGTGCCTGCTTTCACCAGTGTGCGGTCTATCAAGCGAAGGCGACGGGGGCCCCTGAACGGCGATGGCTCGAAACCGTGGTGCTGGGAAAGGTGGGGAATATATGGGATGTGCCATTGGTGGAAATCTCGGGCAGAAAGTCCACGCGGGAGGGCCTGTGCAGCAAATCGTCAGAAAACATGCATCAACTCATGTGCAATTGTCGAGCCCACACGCGCCAGCCATTTACAATAGAGACAACGGAGCGCCGCGGGGAACCGCTAGATGAGCGGGATGGGATGAAACTGGCACATGGGTTGGTAGTGCCTAGGTAGGCACCTGGTAGGCACCCACGCCCCTAATAAACGGCAGTCCGTACCGCATTCACTGTGGCGGAAAGACTGCCGATTATCTTGTTGTGGGTGTGGCGGCACCTTATATCAACGAATGCGCCGCCGCCACTCGGGGTGGAGGCATGTACTCCCCTCGGAAGCAAGCGGCACACTCTGGCACCAACCGAAACAAAAAACGAGCCACCCAACCAAAATAGGGGCACATTTCAAAAAGCTGTTTATCAACAGCAAAAAATAAAAATTAACCGCTTTTCCTGTGTAATTTAATGGGCAGTCAAGATTTTAGGTAATCGATACTTTTCTAGGCGTAGAATGGTGCTGAGGCATCGCGAATTGGGTTTGTTTTGATTGAGACTGTGCTTTCTGCTATAGAGTTTGTATGAGGGAATTGGCTCGTTTTTTTTTTTCTCGGTTGGTGCCTGGCTCGCCTGGCTCGTGCTGACGACATACGCTCGGCCGTGGACGATCAGCAGGATGATCGACCGATGGGCGGCTCGCATGGCACCGTGATGGCTCGCCAAGCCGTGACTGCGCTCGGTTGAGGTTGCTCGATTTATGGTACTTTTCAATGATGTTTGTGTATTTAAGCCACGTGCTTATTGCATTTCACGGCACGCACGGAAATGGCATGACAATTGAACGGTGATCGCACCCCGCACCCACCCAGTCCAACAATGTCAGCGGAAAATCTTGAGGCAACCCAGGGATCCGGCTTCGACGGCCTAGAGTGGGTACAGGATGGGATTTGGGGCGCGGAGCCTCGCTGGACTATTGAGCCGGATGAGGAAGCCATCCAGCAGACTGTACGGTCTTCGTTGAACCTGCCCCCCGGCCCCTGCGATATCGAGTTTCTCGCACAAGGCGCGTTCAACAAGGTTTTCGTTCTCAGGCTTGCTGGGAAGGAGGTCATTGCCCGCGTTACGTTACCAGTCGATCCCGGATGGAAGACGCTCAGCGAGGTGGCCACTCTGGCATGGGTCGGCCACAACACAAGCTTGCCAGTCCCTAAGGTTCTTTCATTTCAGGCCGACAGGGCCAGCACTATCGGGTTCGAGTGGATCGCCATGTCTAAGATGCCTGGTACCTCGCTTCGCGATCGGTGGAGGGACGTTACCTTTTCGGCCAAGGAACAGATTGTCCGCCGGCTCACCTTGTTCTGCTCCGAGACATTTAGGGCCCAGCTTCAGGGTATTGGAAGCTTGTTCTTCGACAATACGGGACCATTGGCACCTGCTATATGTTCAGCAAAGACCCAGTCTGTCTACAGCGGTTCGATTCCATCCCAAGACCGCGATTCGTTTCGGATCGAACGAATTGTCTCTGCTGAATTCATTTGGGACAGCCGCATCCACATACAAGTCCCTCGTGGCCCTTTCGAATCTAGCAAGGACTGGATGCTTGCTCGACTTTCACTCGCCGAGGCAGTCTGTCGCGACAAATTGAACCGCTTGCAGAACAGAAATTCATCGTCTCCGGCGGAAGCTGACCGGGGTGCCGGGTTAGAGGATACAGAAAGGGGGGATGAGCCAGAAGGAACGGGGAGCAAGGAAGAAGAGGAGGAGGATGAAGACGACATCGAGGAACTCGAACACACCATGGACATCATTTCACGGCTCAGAAGGCACCTGGACGACTTCTTCCCTCCTCTCGGCCCGGAGCCCGACCCGACCATCATCTTGCACGACGACCTCTCCCACCAGAACATTTTGGTAGACAACGAGGGCAACCTGACAGCAGTGGTAGACTGGGAATGTATCTCGGCTGTTCCGCGCTGGATGGCCTGCCAGTTCCCTCCCCTCCTGCAAGGAAAGCACCGCAGCGAAGAGCCCATCAAGGCCATATACCAGCACGATCAGGATGGAAATGTCGCTGAGCTTTTCTGGGAACATCTTGATGACTACGAGCTGACGCAGCTCCGCCGTGTCTTCCTCGGGGAGATGGAGAGATTGGAGCCGGAGTGGGTCGAGATATTCGAGTCGAGCCAGCGACAGAGAGATTTCGACCTCGCCGTTACTAGTTGCAGCGATGAGTTTCTGATGCGTAGGATCTGAGGCTGGCTCGATGATATAGAAAGCGGCGTTGAGGGCTTTGAGGGCTTGGAAGAAAGGATCGACAATGCATCGCTTTGAAGCAATGAAGGGGAAAGGGGCTTTATGTATATGTTAGAGCTAGTAGTACTGAGTACAATCAATAAACCCTCGTTCCATATTCTCATGTCAACACCCCTGCCCTCCCGCCGATAGCAACGATAGAGTTTACTACTAAGCCACTAGCGCTACCTGTCAGCAGTTGATGTCTGAGGAGCGTAATACGGCGCCTTTTACCCCAGACCCCTTACTTCAACGTATCCGCCCGACCCATTGGGCTCGGTATCAGCACCAGGACCAACATCTCAAAGTCTCCTGCCACCACGAGGCTGTCCGTCCTCCGCGCCGTCCTACCCTCCTTAGTACGCGCCCTCTTCCTCAACGCACTCGTATAGCCAGACGCCGCGCCGCCGTCATCCTCCCCCACGTCCGTCCCCGAGCTCGTGACGCTGTGCCTTCTCTTGTGGTTTGCGGGCGGCACGGTCTCAGCAGCGGGAACCTCGGGCTGCGCTTCTTCCCCGTCCATCTTCCCCCGCTTACGGGGCGGGCTCGGCGACGTTAATGAGGGCGAGGGCGGCCTCGGCCGCCAGGACGTGGCTGCTGTTTTAGCGGCGGCGTCGGTAGCGGGGGCAGGGGCGGGCTTTTCGTAGCTCCTTTGGTCTGGGGTTTTTGGTATTACTGCGGTGACCTCGTCTGCCTCGTCGCTGGGGGCGGGGATGGGGGCGGGGACGGGCGAGA